AGTTGGGGCAGACTCAACGGCACATAACAACAACAACAGCAACATCACTACAGAAGTAGATTGCCCATCTTCCTTCTGAGGAGTGGCTGGTGGGTTTGAACTTCCAGCCTTCTGGTTAGCAGTCAAGTGCCTTAGGCACTACGTTACCAGAGCTCCCCTGATGAAAACAAATGAAGTAAAATGTTAATAAGAAGTGCATGTGGGTAGAGTATTAAAGTATCTTTGCACTACTCTTGTAATTTTTCTGTAGATATGACATGATGTTCAAATAAAACATTTAAAAAGCCCAAAAAAACTAAGGCGGCTTGTGAATAAGAGCTCAGGAATCACGCTCTTAGGAAGGCAACTTCATGCTTGCTCAGCATTGACAGGCAGTCAGCACAGGGCACACAGAAGGAGCCATCACCTAACCAATCAGATTACTTATGACTTTGCCTTTTGAGAGATTTAAGCATAGTTTTGACTGAGCTTTAATTTTAATGCAATAATAACAGACACTCCTCACTATCAGAGTACACTTCTGATAAGGCTCACTCGAGGATTTACTGTTCAGATCCATAGGCAGACTCTCTACCAGACCTATAATTTACTGCAGGGCATTTATAGCATCTGTTGCTGATCCTACTTATTTGTGTTTCTAAGAAGTGCTTATATAATGGCAAATCTTGAATTCTTGAAACAAATTTTACAAATGTTACAAAATTACAGGAAAGAAGATAGGGAAAAGAGGGGAAGCAGAAAGCAAAGGGAAAATATTAGTGAAGAATTAATGTAAAACTATCTAGAATTTGAAAAAATATGTTCTCTTCCTCCACAAAAAAAGAGCAATTTTAATATGCATCCACAAGAAGCTGACCTAAAAAGAGAGTTTTCCTTCCAAAGATTAAAAGATACTGAAACTTAGCAACACAAGATTAGAGCAGAAGTCTTTTAGGCATAGAAAATTCAAGACAAGAGGCATCTGGTAGCAACTAAAGAAACTCAAAACACCTTCAAAGCAGAGGATGGTGCACTGCGAAGTATGACCTCACACAAGCAGGGTCCTTCAGGTACAGTGCAAAGGTCGGGTCTTCTGTGTGCCATGGATTACATGTGTACAAGGGACAAATAGGATAAAGTCCCTGTTGTCAAGAATACAGTGAGGTGTAATGGGGAGAGGGCCAGAGAATGCCAGGTATGAGAGCAGAAGGAAGGGCGTAACTACATACACCAGAAAGCTGAGATCAAGTTTCCCAGGGGAGGTGAACTGTGACTTGAGCCATGAGAGACGGATAAGGGGACCACAGGCTCAGGTATGAATGGGGCGGAGAAGGAATGTGTAGAGCAGACTTGGAAGGGAGATGGGGAATTGGCATGCCAGTGGAGAAACAGTCCTGGGCACTTCAGAGGGCAGAGCATGTACTGGAACCACAATGTCCACTCTGGCCTGATGTGGGGTTGGACGATGTAGTGGTATAAGAGGAGATAGCCTTGTGCAATGTGAACTGAACCCTAAACATTGTGGGCATATATTGGAGGACTATAAAGGAAGGCAACATTTTCTGATTTGTATTTTAATAAGATCACCCAGGAAACAGTATGTGGGATGGAACAGAGGAAGGTGAGATCAGATGATAAATAATCATAGTCCAAAAAAATCTGGAGATATAAAACACCACCAAAGGAAATAATGTTTCAATCTGAGCTTCATTGGAACAGACTGTTTCATCCCTCTGATCAGAATCAATACCAAGTTATCATTCTCATCACTTCAGGATTCTGGTATGTGCTCACAGAAACCACAACTATACTTCCCTTCATAAACTTTTGAGTTTCTATTTTTCCCAAAAAATTATTCTAAGTTTAAACCTTGAGTGAATTCCTATGGAGAAAGGTAATGATTGATGAAGTTATATAATTTGTAATTCATTATTGTTGTTGTTGTTATGTGCCGCTGAGTCGGACCCGACTCATAGCGACCCTTCTTTGGGTTTCCAAGGCAGTATCACTAAGGAACTAGATTCCCCAACCTTCATTTTAGAGAAACAAAAGTTTATCAAAGTAAAATACTTCAGAAGACAAATGCTAATGTGTTTTTGCAGAGGCTTCTAGTCACACCAGATTAATAGGTAGAGAATCTGGAGGAAAAAATTTTGAGGGAAACAAGTTGTAGAAATGAGAGAAGAGACAGTCTTATCTATTGACAGAATTTTCATGCTCACAAGCCCCAATACTAACCTCATGTCATTGAAACACAGCTTCTTGTCATACTGCTTATAGGCCATTGACTAATGGGCCTTTAGGATTCCTGCTTAGTCACAGTAGGTGTTTAAAAATGATTAAATCAGTAACTTGATTACAATACTCACCAGAATGAGAAAACAGTACACCACATGGCATGTGACGCTTTCCTCCCATGAAAGCTTTACCACTTTCCTTGTCACCAAAACACAACACATTCTACGCAGCACATTCTAGAGACTAGTTAAAATAACAGGTATTGAGGAACAGGGAAGGGGGAAGTATGGTAGAAAACCTTTAGTTAATCCTGGAAGATGAGGAAACACCCACCCATCCTTCATCTCACTACCACTCCCTGCCTCTGTTGGTGACTTAGTTTCAGTGTCTACTCATAGTATACAAACACAGAACTGGATAATACTTAGGCCCATCCTGACTGCCTGAAGATACAAGGGAAGAAACAAAACTAAGAAGTTAAGTCATCCAAATCCCCCATGGTTCTGTGGCCCAGTAAATGCTGCAGCTCAGAGGCAGTCAATAGTGTCCCACTCTGTCTATGATGCCTAAAGTCCTGGAGTAGTAAGTAGCCTGTGGTTAAGAAGATAGGTGTTGGTGCCAAATAGACCTGGATTTGAGTCCTCATTCAATGGGGGGCAAGTGGCTTAAACTAAGTCCCAGTTTGTGCAACGTGAAAAAATTGATGATCATCATAGTATCTCATGGGAGCATTATGAAATGCAGTGAGATGACACCTGTAAAGTGCTTATCAGCAATGTGTCTGGCTAAAGTATCTCCTCAAATATTTGCTATTATTATTATGATTGATCATCTGGGGCTTCAGGGTATAAAGAACGAAATACTGGGTTCATGGTAGTGAAAGCTGTCATCCTGAACGTAGGCTGTACGTAGATGTGGTAGGCAGGAGCAAGAAAAGGGTCAGAACCACAACTTTTCCCGACGGTTTTAAAAATAGAAATACTATGAACTATTATTTTTTTGTGTTGAACAATAGCTGATTTGCACTAGACACTCATAAAAACTCCTACATCTGTTTCCTCTCCTCTTTTGTACTGTACTTTCATAGCATTGTATCTTCTAGCTATATAATAAAATCAAACGTTACTATTGCACATATATCATCCTGGCATCTGCAGTCATCCCCACTCTAGTAAAAGTTCGCTTCACTCATCTCTCTACCCTCTTGTGTAGTTTTTACACATTGGCTTTGGAAACAAGGGTCACTGCACACAGTCACATACCTGGCAGCTAAGAGATATTGATGGTCTAATTCTCTCAAAATAAAACCATAAGAACCGATGATAATTATGCTTCAACTTTTTATACTGCCTTTGGTTCTATTTTAGGAATTCCCTAAACATTCCAGGGAATGATTTTTAAAAATCTAAACTCAAGTGCATAAAGGAAAATGAAACTGTATATTTAATGGTGTGCTAACATCCTATCACTTACTTAGGAATGTGATTTTCTTTCGTTGCCAAGACAGCAACAGTTGCTGTGGCAATCACAGGAAAACAGGCATACTCAACCGAAACAAAGTCCACTCACCTGCACGAAGATGCCCTTGCTCTTGTACTCCACATGGAGGCACTGAGAGAAAAAATCTACAAAAGCCTGGAAGGGGTGGGGGTGAGAGGAAATCACACGTATTACATCAATCTGCTTAATCAGTTGCCATGGAAACAATAAACAAAAATAATAAAACTATTTAGCACTCTAATTTCTAATCATTCTTTTTATTTCAAATGCAGACAAAACCTTAAAAAAAACCTCAAGTGGTTTTTATCTGCCACTAAATTACGTATTTTCTCACCAAATATGATATTCAAATTTGGATTTAACTAGAAAAGGTACTTCTTATCCTATTTTTTTTTTGCCCAGAAAATTACTTTCAAAGAAGAAAAGTATTTTTTATTATGTAACAAAGGACGCATTCCTTTTCTCCACTTGCCACTCAAGCAGAAATACAGTATGAACTCTGCTCAACTCTGTTCTATGGGGATTTTGTTGTCAGAACAGAAGAGGAAAGAGCAAGTATCCTCTTGGACCTCTGGGATGGCAAGATCCAAGAAGTGTAAAGACAGACGTGACGGCCCATCTTCTTCTGAAAATACAACCTATTTGTAGCATGTAAAGTGCCATTTTATCAAATATGGACTCAACCTCAGGGTTGAAATGCAAAGCATTAATAACAGCTCGACAGTCACAGCAACTGGTGATAGTATTGCATCAGGTGGAGCAGAAGGGGTAAGAGGTTGGAACGCACCAATCACTTCAAGGATCACGGCACTCATCTTAAGCATGCCTACTGCACGCTTCAGACATACAGAAAGCAAGTAATAGAGGGGGAAGAGAAGGTGGTGCCAAACTTTTGAGAACAGTGGCTGCTGTTTTCTCTTTTTTCCAATGGACAAACAGCTAAGTAAAGAAAGAAGGCAGGAGTTCTGCTCCCTCCCTCCATGACACAATACAAGTTCTTACCGTGTATTATATTTTGCTCATTTTCCCCTTGCTTGCTTAATTTCAATGTCTAAATGGTCACTTTGCCTTCAGAGATGTATTCTGTGCCTCAACAATAGATGTGAGGATGATGCATCGACCTGCAGTAAGTACTCTAATTTTTCTAGTCGTAATGTGAAGAGGTGAATGATAATGTTGTAAAAAATTATGGCATCTTACAGAGAGTTTCTGGAAAATTCTTGTCTCACCCCAGAAAGGTCAGTGAATACTCACAGTCTTACCCAGCCTCTCTTGTGCCTACTATGTGCAGTTATGTCCTGACCAGCCGCACTTCTTCCACTCCGCGTGGCAGTGCTGGAACTCCATGCTGTGTGAAAGTGACTCTTTCACGTATCAAAGCCCCAATCACACTCATTAACATCATGTTCTAATCAACTGAGCAAACTAGCCTAGGCCAGATCTCTATGGAAAGAACAAGTACCACTTTTGCAATCATAAACTACTAGAGGAAAAAAAAAAAAGTCTGTGGATCTGAAATCCTGGCGGTCCATTTATAACATTTATACCAATCAGCACATCACCAGATCTGGGTCTCCTTAAACCAGTGTTGTGTATTTTCCTTTTATTTTTCCAGTCTATTGGATTTAATTTTAGGAAAGTTAAATCTATGTTAATTTCTCAGGCTGAAAATTATTCTTCATTCTTACAATGACATGTTTCTTAAAATATCGTTCACCTTGGTTGCAGAGTAGATAGTCAATAGTGGAACTGGGTGCATGCCACTAGCGGAGGAGATGTTCACAATTACCCCTTTTGATCTAAAAAAAAAAAAAAAAGAACCAAGTAAACAGAATGAAATCATATATACAAATTTTTATGAATGATGGTCAAGATATCTAATTATTTGTAACAAATATGACATTGCTGTTTTTCTAACTCACATCTCCCCTTGCCTTTCATCAGTGTGCGATGTGCTTGGTCAGTAAATGAGGCATAACTCAATCAACTAAAAATAGCTCTTCTTTATGATTAGCTCATTCCCTACTTTAGTAATCTAGGGCATAACACCGAGCAGATCTACAGTCTCCTCGAGTGGAATGAGGTCTTCCCTGACCACAGCACCAAGAATTCTTCTTTTTTTAAATTGTGATTTGGCTGAAAATTTACAGAGAAAATTCACTTTCCATACAGCAGTTCACATACTTTGTTTCATGACACTGACCACAATTCACCACAGTGCAATAGCTCCCCTCCCACTTCCTCCCAACAGTCACCTCTTCCCTGTGTCCATCCCTCCATGCCCTCCTGCCCCCTGTGCTGTCTCCCTGTGCGTAAACAGCCCTTCTTTCTCCCATGATTGTTCACTCCAAGGAGTGTATTTACCTCAGGTAAATGTTTAAGTCATATGCCTGTCTTTTGCTTGGCTGGAAGCCACAGTTGTGGGTTCAATTCCAGACCTGAAGGGCAGTTAGGGGCCATAGTTTCAATGGTTCCACCAGGCTCTATCAGACCAGCAAACCTGGTCCCCTGGCCCCCCTTTTCTCCCCCAAATGATTTTGAGTTTTGTTCCACATTGTTCTCCCAGCACCAAAAAATTCTTACTCTCAAATGCTCTTGGGCTTCCTATTATTGTTGTTGTATGTATTCCAGTCGATTCCAACTCATAGTAACCCTATTTGACAGAGTAGAAGCCCATGGTGTTTCCCGGGCTGTAATCTTTATGGGAGCAGATTCCCAGTCCTTTTCTCCTGGAGAGATACTGGTGGATTTGAACTGCCAGCCTTTCGGTTACTTAATCACTATGTCATGAGGGCTCATCATGTGCTCCCTACATGTGCCTTCATTTTGGCATATTAGCCCGTACTACCTTGCTGTAGTACTCGGTCACTGCATGAGTGTCAAATTTCCTCCGCTCAACAAAACCCTAAGCTTCTGGATGTCACAGCCCTTGTTTTACATTCTTCCTCAAAACACTCTGTGTAGTACTCGGCCGATAACAGGTACTTAATAAAACCTTTTGGCAATGAATGAACGGCCATGTTCTGCTCTCCCACTTTCCTCGGGTTGTAGATATTCAGGCACTAAACAAAGTTGTAGGAGCTCTGGTAGCATAGTGGCTAAAGCACTTGACCGCTAACCAGAAGGCTGGTGGTTCAAACCCACCAGCCACTCCTCGGAATGAAGGTTGGGCAACTTCCGTAGTGATACTGCCTCGGAAACCCAAGGAGGGGTCACTGTGAGTCAGGGCCAACTCGACGGCACATAACAACAACAACAAATAAAGTTGTCTACAGACATGAGAGATTCTACAGATGTAAGATCATTTTCTTTTGTCAAAAGGGAAAGTTCAATTTCTACTGTAATGTTTAAGGATTATTGAAAGTTTAAAGTCCTCCGATATTTTACCAGGAAAGGAGTCCTTGGACGATGCAAATGGTTAATACTGTTAATCAAGACTGGAGGCACCTTGAAAGAAAGGCCTGGTGATCTACTTCCAAAACTCAGCCACTGAAAACTCTGTGGCGCGCAGCTCAGATGACACGCACAGGGTGGCCACGTGTCCAATTCGACTCGAAGGCAACTTTGTTTTTGGTAGTTTACAAAAAGTGATGTTATAAATATGCCAGTTGTTAGGGTGCACGAGTGGTTTAGATAAAGTATGGAGATTTGGTTTTAGGAATTTCAGACAGAACTAACAAGAGACCCTTCCCTCTCAAATCTCTTCTTCTCAGAGGGGTGGGTCTCCTTCTTCAGCTTTTGCAACCTGTCCCCTCCACCTCCTGGCTTCCGGATCAGGTCCTCTGCCCCATTTCTCATGTTCTTCCTTTGAATTTACTTCCCCAAGACCTATTTTTTTGACTATTGAAAAAAATGAATGGACTATATGGACCCTGCTTATGCAAAATAATAAAAGAAACATGATTAAACAGCATCGAAGTGATTTTAGACATAAATCTGAAAAGAAATAATCCCCAAAGGTCACCGAGTCCATCTGCCAGCCTCTAGGCGAGATGCTACGTCAACCATCAAAGGGATGTGTGGGTCCTCATTTTAATGTATGTCTTTGAATCAAGTGTTGTTTCTTGTTTGTTTTTTAAAAGAAGTCCTTATTAGTAATGGGAGCTCTGGTGGCACAGTGCCTAAGGCATTTGACTGCTAACCAGGACGCTGGAGGTTCAAACCCACCAGCCACTCCTCGGAAGGAAGTTTGGGCAATCTACTTCCATAGTGATACCACCTCGGAAATCCAAGGAAGGGTCACTAGGAGCCGGATCCGACTCGATGGCATGAGTTTGGTTTTGGTTTTTGTTTTTATTAGTAATATATGTTTTCCTAATCTGTAACATTTTAGAGACAGACATCAGATTTCAAATCGAAAAATTATTATTAGGGTTGGAAATATATTATTAGAGAGTTGGAAATATTTCATCAATGTATTAATGAATAATTCTATTTCTTTTTCTGGTAGTGTCTCAGAGACAGAATAGCTGTTTCTTCCTTTTTTTTTTAATTTTAAGGTACAAGGGTAAGAGTTTGCATACAAACTGGCAAATTAGCAAATATCTTGTCAGTTCATTTTCCCTGTATTTATGAGAAATTACTTTGATAAAAGTGGAATAAAAGCCACTTTTGTTATTGGACACTTTTAATAAAGTATACTTTATGACGTTTAAAATGTATTTCTCCTTTTAGGGTACTGAACATACACTAAAATTCGGCTGTGGTGATAGTTGCACAGTTCTGGGAATATAACGTACTAAACAGTACACTTTAAATGGGTGAATTTTATGGTATGTGAAATATACCTCAATAAAACTGTTTCAAAAACAGAGAGAGAAAGAAATACTTGAGGATGCTGGAATATGCCCCCTTTAAGCTGAAAGCATAACCCAAACAAGTGAAGGAGAAGAGAACTACTCCATCTTAGGTAACACTCCATATGCTTTTTGAGGAGAAATCCTAAACCTTGACAACTAGTACCCTCCTCCCACACCCCAAGTATGCTTGTAGGCTGGGGAGCGCTGTATCTTCACCTTTTCTCTATTACCATCAGTTATTACGGCCTCACTCCTTCAGAGCAAGTGAAGCAGCAGCCAGTTTGTCACAGTGCAGATGTGCTTCTCACAGAAGCCGCAGTGTGTCCTTCCTGGTGTTACCAGCTGGCTTATCTGCTCGATTATACTCAAATTTGCTGGGGCGGCTGTGTTTGGCTCTGAACAACAATTCAGACTTTTCATTTCATTCCTCACAAATTCAATACAATTTAAAAGTCTTTGAAAGTTTAACTTTATCAACTACATTTTAAAAATTAAATCTTGATCTCACTAAAATGCACTCTTAAAACTTCACTCGCCAGTAGCGACTGGGATCTTAAAAGCCAGGAAGCTGCCATGTAGATGCAACGATGGGTCTCTCCTCGTCCACAGCAAAGAAGAATGAAGGAAACCAAAGACTCATGGAAACAATTAGTCCTAGCAACTGGTATACCATCCCATCTGCAGCCTATATGACTATGAGACCAGAAGAACTAGATGGTGCCTGGCTACCACTGTCATCCACTTGGAAGGGGATCTATG